CTGGTGAGGCTGCACCTCAAATACTGTGTTCAGTTTTGGGCTCCTCGCTATAAGAAGGACATTGAGGTGCTGGAGCGTGTCCGGAGAAGGGCAATGAAGCTGGTGAGGGGTCTGGAGCACAAGTCTTATGAGGAACAGCTGAGGGAACTGGGTTTGTTTAGTTTGGAGAAGAGGAGTCTGAGAGGAGACCTTATTGCTCTGCAACTACCTGAAAGGAGGTTGTAGTGGGATGGGGGGGGTCAGTCTCCTCTCCTAAGTAACAGGACATATGAAGAGAGGAAATGGCCTCAAGTTGCACCAGGGGAGGTTTAGACTGGATATTAGGAAAAATTTATTTACTGAAAGAGTGGTCAAATGCTGGAACAGGCTGCCCAGGGAAGTGTTGGAGTCGCCATCCGTGAGGCTTTCAAAAAACGTGTAGATATGGCACTTCAGGACATGGTTTAGTGGGCATGGTGCTGTTAGGTTGACAGTTGGACTTGATCTTAGAGGTCTTTTCCAACCTTAATGATTCAATAAGATGCTACAAGTCTCATTTTACAACCCCTCATCCCTGAGGACTTCCAATTACAGGGGTAAAATTAAAAAAAAAGCACACACTTCCTGATGGTTATCTTTTCCCATTTATTTTCCAGACTTCCACAAAGGCTCCAAGACCCTCTCTTGACCTTCCCACCACGAGCATGATGGTAGCCAGCACAAAAAGCCTCTGGGAGACTGGCGAGGTTGCAGCTCAGTCTGCCGTGAAGTCCTCGACCTGTAAGGTATAGCACTCGTAGGCCTTGCCTTGATTGTGCAGGAGGAGGGGGCTGGCCTTTGGACACAATACGCGTTATGCTTGCGTTAGCCTGTTGGTATGACTTACTGGTGGTGTCCACCAGCTCTGAAGGCATCTGTATTAGTGACCCAATCCCCTTTATTGGGATGCAAGGCCTTGTACCTCAGAGCTTTGCTTCATCTGTGCTATGGTCCCAAATCATCCCTTGGTGGTACAGCTAGGAAAGCCTTTGTGTGATGTAGGTTGAAGCTTTTTGAAATGGGAACAAAATCAGCTGGTGGAGAGGATGTGTGTGTCTTCTGCAGGGGCTGACTGAACTCCAGTTGTTGAGTACAAAGCTGGATCTAGTACCAAGATGGTAAATCTAGTAAACTTGGAAAATGCAAAACGTATTATGTATTTATCTCCTGATAATTTCACTTTCTGGTCATTGTGAGTGAGGCTGATTCTGTAACACATTGATTGCAAATCTGTGTCTATGTGAGCAAAATTCCTTCCCCATAAAAATAAAAAAAGCCTTGATGTTAACATGTCTTAAATAGTTAAAGAACTTAAGAAAATAAACATCTTAAATCTCTGATTCGGGCTGTTGAAGAGAGTGAGAGAGACTAAAACATAGGATATACTGGGAATAGGAAGAAGTATTCACAGTAATGGGTTTTAGCTGCGGCTGTCATCGGTCAGATGATGTGATATTATAAGTAAAAGAGGAGGTCAGATGTGTGCGTTTGAAAGGGATGTGGACAAAGGCATGTTCGGCAGTGTTAGCAGTGAAGGGTAATGAGAACATCATCTTCTCAGGATATTGTGGCTGGAGACATCGTGAGTAAAAGAAGCCTTTGGGAACAGAAGGGCAATTCCAAACCTGAGACCAACATCAAGGTGAGTTAATGTCTGTGTGAGTATGAAAGCACTTGCTCTGCTGTGAAAAAGGACTCTTGGCTAGATGGGAAGTATTGAGAAGATGGTGATATTCCACAGGGACAAGGGCTGCCTGTATCTATCTGTGTAATTGCATACCTAAAAGCTCTTCCTAACAATAAGCTGCTATTGCTTCAGCCCTAGTATAAATGGGGGCAAAAATAGTTTTATAACCAGTAATACTGAAGTGTCTCTTGAATAGCATGTTGTTTTCAACATGCTGTGGGACCCCTGCCCGTCTAGGTTCAAATTGAGCTGCAAAAGTGAGTTACTTTGTTCTTCTTATGCTTTTTAATCTTGAGAGTAAAGAAATCATGCAAAATGAAGTGGAACTGAACCTAAGATAGTATCAACACTTCTAGATGGATCTGGGTTTTTGTTGTACTGGTACATTTGAGGGAATGCCTATTAAAATACAGCAAGCAGCTGCTGCTTGAACTGTCCAGGCTGGGAGAGGAAGATCAGAGTATCTTGTGTGTTCCTGGGATGGTGCTGCTGCCAGTATGTGGAAAATGAAACTGGCTCTTACCATGGGTGAAACCAACCGTGGCTTGGGAGGGCCCTAGATGAGTCCTCCCTTGTGATGCCTGGCATTGCTTCCTCCCGTTCCTTTTACACATCCTGTGCTTATGGAAAATGGTGGTCAGTCTGTGCAAAGGGTTTATGTGGAAAAGGGTAAGAAGGGAGTAGAGAGTAGGCTCTCTCCAAGCCCTCTGGGATTGCAGACAACCCTATCACATGCTTCTCTGGCTTTGATTATTTGATTTTGTCTGCCAATTTGAGGGAGAAAAATGCTGACTTTGGCTCTTTCTTTCTCTCCTGTTCAGTCCACTCCCTCTGGCAAGAAGTACAAATTTGTTGCAACAGGCCATGGCCAGTACAAGAAGGTGTTGATAGATGATGCTGCAGAGCAGTAACGTGCCTGGAAAAGTCATTAAACAGGTAGGTGGGGTGTGACCTTGCGCTGTGTAACAAACTCCTGGCACTGCTCTGGTAGGACATCGGGGTTATTTCTGCCAGCTACACTTTGGGCGAGTTGGAGGGTACTGTATGGTAACAGCTGGAGCCTTGCTTCTGGGCAAACACCTGACTTTCTGAGCTGGAATGGAGGAGGTACACAGAGATTTATTTTGGTCTCTGACTTTCTGATGCTGCTAGGAAGCTGAATACCTCTGTTAGTTTAATCTACAGAATAAGTCCCTTTGCTACTGCTGTTTGGGTGAAAATGTATTTGCATTTGCTAGTTCAAAGGAACAGTCTCTATCTGCTGCTTTTTCTTATTCTATGTTGCAAGGAATAGATGATAGCTGGAGGTCATTCTGGCTGAGCCTGGGGGCTGATGTACTCCTGCAATTCAGATGCTTCTGGGATCTAATTCTCTGGTTTACTGAATTAATCAGGGAAAAACATTTAATAGTTTCAGTAACCTCTTGGAACCACTCCATAATAGGGCTGTAGTGAGTACATGAATGTCTGCTGTGCTGGGTAGACCAACAGAGCAGAAAGGACTGTCCTCTGATGTGTAGCAAGTGGGAAGGCAGAGCTGGATTGCTGTCTTTGCCCTCTTGAAATGGTGTCTGGATCTCATGCTCATATTGTGTTTATATTAATAGATATCCTGGTGTTCTCTTGAGTGGATGATAGCAGAGGATTGCGGCAATAAGGAGCAATGGTGTAGAGGAAGGTGATAACTGGCTGGATCCAACTGGGCAGCATCTGGCACTGAGAGAGGGGAGGATATTGTTGGGGGTGAAAACAAGCTCATTCTCTCTTTTTTCCTACTATAAAAAAGAAGCTTTATTTTCTAGCCAAGCTTATAAATAGCTCTGCAACAAAACACCTCTTGTTTCTGAATTTTTCTGTGGGCTGCAGGGGTTTTTTTGTTGAAGGTTTGTTTTTTGGGTTTTGTGTTTTTTTTTGGTTCTTCCCCTCAAGGACCTGGTTTCTGAGTGCAGCTTAGGTTTAGGCTTTGCTTTTTGTTTTGTTTTTTTTTCCTTTTGTGGTACTCATTTAGAAGACAAGCTCTCTTGAATGCCACTTGGAGATGAGCAGCAGTACAAACCCAAGCCTGCCCAAAGCTATGCTTTTTAGATGGAAAGAAGGAGCCCCCAGGACTTGTATCCTCAACTTGCTTCTCTGCCTGTGGCTTTCAGAAGCATATTTTAAGGTCTCCTCTTTGATCAGTCCTTCTTTTTACTGATGTCTGTTTTGATATACCAGGTGGGATCCTACTGAGCTTCAGTTCTTTATAGCAAACAGGTTTTGCTAGGTTGTCATTAGGTTTTGTTTGCCCTACCTGAGCTTCTGCAAGCAGTGCAAAGGCAAATGTCCTCAGCTCTGATTCTTTTCCAGCATCCCTTCTTGAAAGGCTAGTGACTGTCACAGGATGTCCTCTAGTATCCCGCCCAGTACTCCAAACAATCACTACACAGCACTGTTGCCCCTATGGGCTCATTCACGATGTAGGGTTTTTTGACTGTGAATAGCAAAATGACTGTGATAGCTTGAAGTATCTTGGCTTGTTTCTCTTCCTGGGATTTTAGCTACCTATTTTGTGTGCTGAGATGTCCCTGCTCTCCAGCTCATCTCCACCCCCCTGAATTATGTTCATACTTTTTCCATACTGCCGGATCCCTTCGTGCTTGCTTTTTTTCCTCCCCAAACCTTCTGGCTCACCTCCATGTCACTCACTCAACATCACCATGTGAACACTTCCTCTTCTGCCCTCCTAAGCTGCAGGACCTCTGAGCAAGCTGTGGACCAAGAGGTTTTTTGTAAGTGGCAATCTGGGCTCTTGGCAACTGCCTGAGGCTGTTTAACACTGGAAAAAACAACCAGACTCTGTGCCCAGCGGCATTTCCCTTCCCTCCCTCAGTAGAGCAGCTCAGACTGGGATGTGCTACAACGGCTCCCAGTGGAGAGGTGCTGGTGAAAGTTTCTGGTTGCCTCTGGGCATCTGTTTTTTCCTCTGCAATGCTCTTGTGCCAGAGTCTGTCTGCAGGACTTGCCATGCCTGCTGTATGCCTCTGCCCTTCACTGCTGGGACAGAAGGCCTAAACCATGCAGCCAGACTTGTCTTCCTCTGCTTACCACTGGTGATTCTCCATCCTCCATCCCTGTGCAGTGGGGCTGAGCTGTAGATGCAGGAGAAGCCCAGCAAATTGAAGACATAAGCCTTTTCTCATCACCATGTACAAGAGTCACTGGTTTGTCCTTGCTGTAGGACAAAGCACAACTGCTTCTGAAACCATCTTCTCTGGCCAGATTCACATAGTCTCCCAAGTGTAATCAATGTTGGCTGTTCCACTTCACACTAATATTGTTGATCTTGTGAATGTAGACTTGTGTTCATAGGCATCCATCTATCTGTGCTGCAGTAAGGTGCCATTTTATCACTGTGTTGTAAGGCTGTCTTTATCTGCATTAGGTGTTCTACATTTTCTAAGCTGCACTCTTTTTTGGTTTTATGTTGCTGTATGGATCTTACTCTTGACAGCTTGAGTTATTCTGCAAAGGCTTACCTGGCATCCACTTGTGATTACTGGTGCATTTCCAACCTACCTCTTTTCACCTTTTTTCTTGGAAAATGGGGAATTGGAGGAATTCAAACTTTAGATACTTAAGTTATTGCTCCTTCCCCCCACTCCCCCACCCTTGGAATAGGGAAGGGGTTACAAAACAGGATAAGACCAGCAAAGTGAAAACTTCAGTGAAGGTTTGATTATAACTGAGCTCTTCAGATAGCATCACCACCAGATTGGAAGAGTTCAAAAAGGCAAAAGGGCATCTTGGTTTTGTTTCTAAGTCTGTTTGCAGTTTGGCTTGGGGAAATTTTGGTTAGCTCCATATCCTCTGCACACAAAGAGAATGTAAAGAGCTGTGTATCAAGTTTCCTATTTGGACTAAACATAGCAATCCTATATTAGCTGTGTAGGAACATCCTGGCATATGACAAATCCCTTTGAGAAACAGAAATAGCTGATCCCCAGCTTTCATGCTTATAAGCCTGGTGGTGATGGAGATGCAAAGGGTGACTGTAATGCTGGAAAGCACAGTTGTCTTTGTACGTGGACAGAAATTTTTGTTTAAATACCTTTTTTCAGGACATCAGGCACCAGTAGGTATGCAATTATCATGATGTTGCCCCTGAAAATGAGACTGCATGCTCTTGGAAGGAACCTCCGGACAACGGTACCCTGTTAAAAACAGTGTTGGATACCCACATGCTGAAGCAGGCTTTTGCTGGTTATCATGAAAACACTAACCTCCAGCTATACTTAAAAAAGCACCATAAAATATATAACAGAATTTGATTACCACAATGGAGTTAGTCTTATGCATGCTACAGTTTAGCAGACTGACCTAGGACGACATGAAATGATGATGCCCAGTTTTTTAGGCAGAAGAACAGGATGTGAGAACAGGATGGATTAGAACTTAGGCTGTCCCTTGCCTGCACCTTTCGTGAAAGGATGAGCGTCCACCTTGTTCTCAGTGAATGGGTGTGGAGTACCCTCCACAGCACTTCACATGGAGAAGGTAAAGAGATACTGTGTACCCTTGCTGAGTTCAGTTTATAAGACTCCCTAGAAGAAATGTGAAGCAATGCACATTCCTTCATGTCTCATTGACAACTGATTTTGTTTCTAGGATTTATCTTCTTCATAAATAAAGATGATAAACCAAATGCAGATTCCATAATCTTCCTGTAAACAGGGCTTTTTCTACAGGCAATTTGTCCTCTTCACAGTGTGCCTCCCTTCTCTTCCCCATGTTACTGCATGCAGTGCTTCATGGCTCTTTTTAAAACAAGTGCACATTTGTTTTCCTGGCTCATGACCCGTGGATGTGGTATGTTATGCATTTAAGCTTATACACATATGGAAAGCAACCCTTAGACCCACAGCATGAGGCTGCTGGCTTGGAGGAGTTTTATTTAATTTTATTTTTTCCTTACACTTGGCTCTGCTGGGCAGTAAACCTAGTCATAGGTGCTCTCTTTCTTGGTGTCCTGTAGGAACCTCCAGAGATGTGAGCCTGGTGGAGTAGCCTGGCTTCAGTTGACTGACCATCCTGATGCTGTTCTGTTAAAGCTCTTGGTGTGCTCCTCAGCCCCTTTGTGTCTGAACCGGCTCACCTCAAAGATGGTAGTAATCTTTGTCATGGGTCTGGCAGCCAGTTCCTTCAGTTTCCGGGCATCGAAGCGTGGCTTATGTAGAAGGATGGGTAAGCGGCAGGGAAGAAAGAAGCTTCCTTCCTTCCGCTGCTGCTTCTGTTCTGCTTGCTGCTTCCTCTCCTTGTGGACTGACATCTGGTACAAAACAGCATCCCACATCCTTGTGGCCCTTGATTTAAACAGCCTACATTCTTGACTAATGATTGCTTGAGTGCTGTCCTTCTCCTTGCTCTCTTCTTTCTGTCCCAGCTTTTCTGGCTCAGGCTCTGGGAAGTTGGGTGCTTCTGGCTGCACCATCAAGTGCTTCCTGAGGCGATGCCAGCCACCAGCATGGGCTCCAGGAGGTCTTGTTGCTTCTACTGATGATGGTGCTGGGTCAGCTTTGAGGGGAGGGCTGGTGTTTGGTAAGCTGGGAGTCAACTGAAGTTGAATGACATGTTCTGCCTTGGTATCTGTGGCGGTGGCCTTGGTACTCTCAGTTTGTGCTGGGGTTGCTGTCTCCAGGTGTGCTTTCCTCCAAGGAGTGCTGGATGTCAATGGTTTTAGGCTGTCACCATCTAGCTGGGCTAGTTCAGGAGCTTTCTCTGACCCAGATATTTCTATGTCACTTCCATGGGTTATAGTCTTATTGGCGTGGGCGTTGGAAGTGCTGGGCTTGGGTGAAGGGGCCTTGATGGACTCTTCAGTCGAAGCAGGCTTGGGTGCTTCATTAGGAGGCTCTGCCTCTGTAGCAGAAAGGAGAGGAGGCTCCAGTGTGGGA